TTGTCTAATGAATGTGTGTGCCCTGAGCTTGAAAATTTTCTTGTTATGTCCCCGCCGGGGGTTTGCTGGGTCAACGGTAAAATCCTGTTTGCCAAGCTTTGTTCAAACAGGGCGTAAGTAAGAATCAGGTCCCCTCGGAGGTGACGGTACTCCAGGGGAAAGAAATCAAGTATCACGAGACGCATTTCGTAGTCCACGGATTTGAGGCTGGCAACCATCCTCGTGGCGGCCCGCTGGACACGCTCAATGAGGGTGAGGTCTTTCGTGCGTCCTGAGTAGACAACTTGGTTGGTGTACTCCATTTCATTCACAGATCCACGGATCGAGGCTTCCGCACGAAATTCCCTGGTCGGTTTTTTTTCCGTCCACCTGAAAGGTACAAGTCGGAAAACGTTGTAGAACTGCTCTCCTTGTTGGAAGTGCGGGGCTGTAAGCACGCCAGATCCAGGACTCGCGTAAAATCTTCTAATGGTGCTTTGAACTGGGCACTAGATGAACCAGGGATAAAGGTTAATTCACGCAGCAACTACCCGAAACGAGAAAAAAATTTGTCTCATAAAAGTGTGTGCTCTGTGGCCGAAGATATTTTCACCACGGACAGGATCACACAGAGCACAACGACCACCTGGTCTTCAAGAACAGTTTATGGATCGCCTGGATGGCCCGCACATCTACAGACCGAAGAACGGCCATTGAGCCACCACTTTCCATAGAACAAAAAGCCTGGCCAAGCAGTGTCCTCCTTGTATCTGATTCAACCAGCCGGAAGGTTGTTTTGTGCAGGAAAATATCCGACACCCTAGTGCAAATAATGAAACTCCTAAGAGCCCATTGGTCAGGGGCGTAGTGGTCTGGCTATCAAGTAAGCTAGTTTACCAGGAGTGTGTGGCAAAGCACGTGACCTGTATTGTGTGAAATTGTACAAGTGCGCGTTTTTGTAGATTTTCACATTCAAACAAAAAACGACTATGCAATTGATGAAATGAAATGTGTTATAATGGAAGTAAAATAAATGTGCAAAACGCCACACTACTCCCCCACTAGAGCGTTGACCATGGAAGGGGAAAACGCTCGAATAAATAAGGTAACGAATCACGAGTTGCTCATTTCAAGTTTCGTAATCAGCTAAACGTTGAGGGAAACGGAGGCGTCGTCATGAACGACTAGTGGAAGGAGTGAGGTTGGTGGGAGGGATATCTTGGGTAGGTGTGGGTGTTGTTGGAATAACAGGATTGCTGGATGTGGTCGTAGGTGCTTCAATGTAGGCAGGTTTCAGACGATCAATGGAGACGGTGTCGTGCTTTCCACTTCTCTCTAAAACAAAATATTTGGAGTGACGTTCGATAACTTTGAAGGGGCCATCGTAACAAGGTTGGAGGGGTTTCCTCGTTGCGTCATGTCGGACAAATACAAATGGTGTAGAAGAGAGTTCGGTTGAGATGTGCTCCGTTCGCGTTGATCGTCTGGTAGGTGTCGCACGAAGTTCGGCCATATGTTGTTTCAGAAGGCTGACGAATGTGACGGGTGATTCGGGCTGTGCGCCAGAAGGGGAAACTAGTTCACCGGGTAGACGTAGAGTTGTACCGTATACTAGTTCGGCTGGGGAACAGTGAAGATCCTCCTTAATAGTGGAGCGAATAGCAAGCAAAATGAGGGGTAAAGAAGAGGACCATGAAGATGGGTTCATTTGGGCAGTCAATGCAGCTTTGAGGTAGCGATGGAAACGCTCAACCAGACCGTTGGAACAGGGATGATACGCGGTAGTCGATATGTGATGGAAACCGAATAGTGTAGAAAACTCACGGAAGAGATTACACTGAAATTGTGAGCCGCGATCCGTAGTAACGGTGGAAGGTATACCAAAATTACTAACCCAGTGTTGCAAAAATGAAAAAGCAACTGTTTCAGCTGAAGTATCCGAAATGGGTACAGCTACTGGCCAACGGGTAAAACGATCAATCATGGTAAGGATATGAGTGAAACCGTTTGATGGGGAAAGAGGACCAACAATATCGAGATGGACGTGTGTGAACCGAGCATCAGGAACGGCAAATGAACCAATAGGTGAGTTCGTATGCCGAGTTACTTTAGTGCGTTGACAGGCGATGCACTGTTTGGCCCAGGATGTCAGGTCCTTATTCATGAAGGGCCATACAAAACGTGCACTAATCAACTTCCTGGTTGCTCGGATTCCTGGATGAGAAAATCCATGGAAGTGGTCGAAAACAACGCGTCGGAAAGCTTCGGGGACGATTGGGCGAGCTGATCCGGTAGACATATCACAAAAAATGGCTCCGGATTGGAGGGGTAACGGAGTTGAAGAGACTTGAAATGAAGGGAACGATAGAATAGGCAAAAAATTAGGATCAGTGTTTTGAAGGTTCGCCAGCTTGGCTAGGTCCAACTGCGTGGAAGGGTGAAGAGCGTTTATGTCAGGACGGGATAAGGCGTCTGCGACGACATTGTCCGAACCTGGAGTGTACCGAATGTCGGTAGTGAACTGTGAAATATAATCCAGATGGCGTATCTCGCGTGGTGAATATCGATCAGGCTTGGCGTTGAAGGCGTATGTGAGTGGCTTATGGTCGGTTTGAATGGTAAACGATCTACCCTCTAACAAGTGCCGGAAATGGCGAATAGCAAGGTAAATTGCGAGTAATTCACGACCAAAAGTACTGTAACGCGTTTGGGCAGCCTGCATCTTCTGCGAGAAAAACGCTAGTGGTTGAGGTGTGTTGTTAACAACTTGATGAAGCACTGCACCGACGGCAGCATTCGAAGCATCAGTTGTCAAAATCAGCTTTGTGCTCTCGTGAGTATCGAGGAAAGATAACTTTGTGGCCTGAGCAATGGCGTGCTTGGCTCTTTCGAAAGCAGCAGTGGCGGCGGGGTGCAAAGTAACAGATTTCTCTTTGGAGCCAAGTAAATCGGTCAGTGGCTTCAAAATATCTGCACAGTGAGGGATGAATCGCCGGTAGTAGTTGATGATACCAATGAAACGACGAAGTTGAGTGATAGTTGTGGGCATGGGAAATGACTCTAAGGCCAAAATGCGATCGGGTAATGGTGAAATACCTGTGGCGTCAATGTGGTGGCCAAGAAAATCCAGGCTAGTAACACCGAATAAGCATTTGTCAATGTTCAAACGTATGTTGTAAGTGGAAAAACGTTCAAACACTGCTCTGAGATGAGCTGTATGTTCAGCTGGGGAGGTGCTAGCGACTAAAACATCGTCAAGGTAGGCGTACACAAACGGTAAGCCACGTAAAACCTCGTCCATGAAACGTTGAAACGTTTGGGCTGCATTTCGAAGACCAAAGGGCATACGCGTGAATTCGAAAAGGCCAAACGGTGTTGTGATGGCTGTTTTGGGAATGTCATCCGGAGCTACGGGTATGTGGTAGTATGCTCTTACGAGATCGAGTTTGGAGAAAATGTTTG